GCATAGGAAGTGGGTTGACAAGGCGGGAAGTCGTATCGATAGGATAGATGGACTACGAATATTGATGCTGCAGAGAAAGCAGTTTTGAGACACCTTTGGCAAATAAAGTACGACGGACCGATTGATTGGCCATCGGTGATCGGTCCTCCTGTGGGAACAAACTCCATCCTCTCCAGGAAGTGTGGTCAATGGCCTAACTGCTAAGTACGGCATGCAAAACATTGGAGTACGCCCCCCCCCACTGTTGTTTACGAAACACTCATCCATGCCGAAATATACTGCATACTACACATAAACTCTTTGCTACTGCTGCTGTTTGCTACTGCTGCTGTGTTCTGTTGTGCTTCGTACACAACCATAAGGAGGACTCACGCCGGGTGAGGGCCTAAACGCGCGAACATACATTGTGAAAAAAATTGTTAATACCTATTTTTCATCACTTCGATCAGGTTGGACCCTTTAAAGAGCCATATCCTCGTGTTAAGATAGGTTTTAGTGCAAGAGAAAAACTCTGTTAAATCGGATTAAGAGCAGGTCGTGTTCAGGAAGGGTCTTCTTGGTCCTGCATACCCCTCTCTTAAACCGTAGCCCCCACTGTGTAGAACAAGGAGGGGAGACGCAAACCCTATTCCCTAACCCTAACCCTAACCCAAATTCCCGGATTGCATGCTTCTTATCCACCATGTTTGCTAAATACAAAAGCCTATGAAGGCTACTCTGTGACGCCGTGCCCTAATGTTCTGTCACCCGTTTCTTCTCGTCTTCACCGCCCGGACAGCCAAGTACTTGCCCAACCTGGATGCCAAAGCTGGCGGAGGCGGTTCCTATTCCAAGGGATGTTGCTCGGACGCTAGCTGCAACGACGGAACAGGCGACGTGAAGACGGTCCAGTCTTTGCAACACTGGAAGAACTTGAAACGGTGAGAGGGCCGATAGGATAGAATGGCCCTTTCACGCAAACTCTTTCGCACCTCGCTTTTTATGGTAGACAAAGGGGACCGGTGAGACGGGGGGGTCGTACGGAGACAGCGAAACGCATGCTTATTGCCAGCCGTACCGTATGGTGTTGATTGCGCTCTTTTGCTAGTCACTGTTCCTCCGGGTTGGCATTCAATCACTTGTCATAATATGACATGCCCGGCAGGAAAAAATGTCTCGACCCTTACATATGAATAAACCTGCCCTCTGTAGCCTTCGCAGGAGCTGTAGCTCTAGCGCTGTCCTTTGTAGCCTTCCTCAAAAGTTGGTGAACAACCGTCACGCGCGTAGGTTATCACGTGTACCAGCTGGCTGCCTTTCGTCGTCGAGTCGCGCTCAATACATGTACCGAGTGTGCCACATGTGACCAACAAAACAATCGCCCGTTTGCTGCTGCCTCCACACACAGGACGGAGCCCCTCTTGGTGGTCGACTTCACGGCGTCGTGGTGTAAGCCGTGCCGAGCGATGGCCCCTATTTTCGACGGCTTGGCGAAGGAGAACAAAGGCGCCGCCGCGGTGTTCGCGAAGGTGGACATCGACAACCTCCCGGAAACCTTCGACGGAACGAGCATCCCTGCCTTTTATGTGAGTCTGCCAGTCCCGCCGCGTGCAGACCACAGCAGTAGGTACGCACTTTTTGCAGGAGGCGGTTTGCTGGAAACCGTTTTATGTGTGAAGATAAGACACGCTCTGGAATAGGTGGTCTCTTTGTGGGACAAGAAACCACTCCTGTCAGTGACGGTGAAACGGTTGCTGATGCTCGCCTGCGTTGTTTGTGAGAGACTAAACTATCTTCCTCGCCAACGTCGGAGGACGCTGCCCTTGGCAGTTTTAGTTTTTGAGGTACAGCTCAACAAATCAACAACTGCTGTGAGGTGCTAACAGAGAAAAAAACTTCATTGCTCTCCCTCCATGCTTGTCGCGCAACGTCTTGTCTTGTTCCGTGCTACCAGGTGTTTAAGAACGGTGTTAAGGTGGACAGTGTCACAGGGTCTGGGGAGAGCAAGCTTCGAAAACTGGTGGCGGACCACGTGGGACAACATCAAGGCGACGGGAACGGCGCGTCTCCTCCAGACGACAAGAAGGTCCAATAGGTCGTCGGCGACCTGAACGTGGCAGAGCGCTTGTGCCGTGTATAGTCTGTGGGTGTTGCTTGATGCCTGGGGGTTATTTCTGCTCTCAGCCCGCGTGAGAAACAATTAACAGTGTGATATAGCAGGGCGTTGATTTCCCAGCTGGCTGCAGCGAGTGTTGCTGGGTCAGTCGGTATTTGTTAAGTACGCATGACTTGTCCCATGCTATCATCGACCAGGATGAGGCATGACTGGTACCATCACATATGCAGCACTGTACATATACATCTCTGGTTGGCAGCAACGGCGTTACAGTGCACATTACAAATGTGACGAGGGTCGGATGAGTTCGAGAGCACCTGTTTCCTCGAGCGTCCTGTCCCAAAAGTATCCGTTTCTCCAAGGATCCTGGTTGTTCGATTTTTGAGATGGGAACAACGAAATTCGAAAAACATCATCGCCAACTAAACAACGAACGACTTTAGATACCGGTACTGTTCACAGGAGCTTTGAGATCGGCGTCAATGATATTTAGCACAGAAAGAGAATTCGCACTTAGGGCAGTGGTCTGCCACGTCGTCCACGGCTGCACTCCTTACAGTTATGTATCATAATTGTTGTTTGGATACCGCCCCTCTGAATCCTTTCACACAGCACACGGAGTTAACACGTCTAGAGCGAGAGCTAACACCGAACGAACCTACCCCCCTCCACAAAATATTACAACAAACCCAATGCACCGCAAGCAATATCCTACTGGGGGAAACTCACCACAAAATTGACTCGACACATCCTACCCTACTCCCGCCTGCCGCCCACCACGACGAGCGGCCAAAATCCAACAACAACGCTCATTGCATGGTGCACTCGACACAGCTGTAGCATGTTGTCAACAGCCAAGGCAGCGTCGTGGGCAAGCGTGCGCTGTCATGCAACCAACCGTTGCACAGCTCCGATGGCGTTAGCCTCCGTGAGTGGGGCTTAACAGGCATCCGCTTGCCATTCCTCTGCGGGCTTCACCCACGCCACGAGAAAAGCGGAAACGGATGCCTCATGACCCACTGCAGCCCCTTGCGAAGAACAGTAGCATCAACAAAGGGACAGGTCTATATATCTACTGAATATAACCATAATCTAGCCACAACAGGACCTGCTCACAATCGCCGCAACAGCAATAACAAATGAACCGAAAAAGTTGAGCGAATGCGAAATCCCGCCGCATAGGACAAAGCCGGTGGCCTTGCGCTACAAAATTTTACATGGCGATATGAACCGAAAAAGTGGCACGAATGCGAAATCCCGCCGCATAGAACAAAGCCGGTGGCCTTGTGCTACAAAATTTTACATGGCGATATGGAACCTAAAATGGTATACACCTCCGCCAACGGGGGAATGTCTATCGGGTTGCCAACTAAAAGCTCGCTGATTGGGGGCCGCCTTCCGTGCCGGAATGGCTACATCGAGGGTGCCGGTCAGAAAAATGGCCGCCCATTAGTTCTCGAAGCAGCACGCCAGATAGTCGCCCTCTGCAGTAGGGCAACAAAAGCCACTCAGCTCTTTCCGCCGCAGGAATACGCCAGCGAAGCAGCGAGGAACATCACAGACCGCGAGAGAGAGGCAGATAAGACAGATGGACACACACATTTGTCGTCAGTAAAGGCCCGAATTTGTAGATGCAACTATGCCGACAAACAAACGCTGGAAAATCTATGCTCGAAAGGAGACGAGCGCACACACGCTCGGCGTGCCGGAGCGAGAGCAGGCGACCTTGCTTGCCGAACAACCCGAACGTAGCACGTGAACCCGTACAAGAGAGGAGGGATAACTCTTCACCAAACGTGTTGGGAAAGCAGCAAATCGCCTGGCTTACCTAGCTCTGCGCACTTGGAGTTGCTGTTGCAAGACGCAGGGTCTTGCGACGTTGAAGAGCTAGCCCCTACAGGAGGGTGCGGATGCGATGCCGAGTCCTTCGCTGTCTGGGAATCGTGATGGTTGCCGTGGTGGAACAGGAACACCACCAGGTAGGCGCATCCACCGATAGTGGCCACGAGCACCACCATTTCCAGCACCTTGGTCCAAATAGACTTTGGGCCCTTTTCTGCCAGCAGGTAAGAGGACTCGATGATCTCCCCATGCTGAAATTGAAAGAGGGCAAACGGCAAGGAGACATGTTTGGGACATATCCCATCCTGGGGATCCATCCGCGGTGGAACTTTTTCATTGACAAAATCACCTCTTCAACCAAGCACAAGGCTGTGATTTCAATAGGTTTACGGGGTAAGCGCTCCGCAGGCAAGCAAACATGGAACACTACAGTGAGCCTTCTGTTGCATGCAATGCTGTAACGCTGCTGTGGGGGAAGGGGACGCCATGAGAGCAAGAACATGAAAACATTGCGATTGCGGAAGTGGCCTTCATGTTCTAGACTAAAGCTTTTAGGCAGCAGGGAGATTCAAAAGGATAACGTCACAAACGTGGAAAAATAACGCCATAATCGTGCAATGAAAGGAGAGGGACTGACCTGTGGTGTATCTGCCAAGTTGCTGTAGCTGTAGTTTTTCTTCGGCGGCATCATGGTCAGCACACTGTCTCCTAGGTTGGTGGCGGCGGGAAAAAATGCGCAACACACCAAGAGGAAAAAACATGTGACAAAAGTTTGATTCGAAAATGTCGAACTGGGTCGAGGGGGGAGGTTGGGTTGGCTTTCGAGAGAAAATACGGCAATCGATCAATGCATCTAGTCACCCTCGAGATATCAACACGCTGAGGTGCTCACCTCCTGCTGGATTCCTTTGTATCTCTCGTAGCCCTTGCTGTTGGTGCAGGGTGTGCACGCGGCTAGATGGCTAGATGCACACACGAGGGGCTCCGTAATTTCATAGAACTACACCCACGTACCCGCCCAAATCTGAAGTCCGGCTGCCTGCCCAGGACACACCCGCCTGCTGCACACCGGCACCATCATGCTCATCCCGTGGGCGATTTCGACGGCGTTGGCGTCTTCCATAGTCTCTGTTGCAGTTGGATTCTTTCCTCCCACTTCGTTAGGGTACACTACAGGGCATGGTGAGTCGACACTCGGAGACGGTTATGGACGCATGCGTGGCTTTTTCCGCCCCTGCACCAACAGCAGCAGTGTATGTTGTGCGGTGCTTCCCTCTGCTACAGGTCAGCTGAGGCAGTGGCATCATGTCGTTCTTGATTGCTGTCGCGGCTCAGGTGTGAGACAGAGGGAACCTGGTTGTGTGAAGGGAACCTTCGTATCGGTATGCAGATGTTGGCCCATGCAGGGTGGTCGGCCCCTTCCTGCGAATCAAGTACTTTCGTATCAGCTGTTCAAAGCTGCTGTCATGTTGATTGGGATGTTGCCGCAATCGGCACTGCGTTGGTTGCTGTGTCTGCCGGCCGAGCCTCGAATCGCCGCTGCTGTAGCAGCGCCGTATCGTGGGCCGGTCGTCACAGAGCTTGCTCAATCGACGCCACGAGAAAAACGCATGGCATGGTACTGCTGTATGGTGCGCCGAGTCGCAACTGCTGTTCACCAGAACCGGTCCGTGCAACGCTTGATGACAACGGCAGGAGTGGCCCGACTGGCTGTGTCACTCTTATCATTTTATTGCGGACCTCGCATTAGTTGTACTGCTGTACTGTACCCGCATCGCCAAGTAACGATTGTTGATTAGTGCTTCAGTGGTGTGTTTGCATGTCGGAGGTGGGACTGGGTGCCTGGCATCTCCCGTGGATCAAGAACACCACCTTTGAGCGGGGAAATACCGCGGAATCTCCCCGCTGTTGGAGATGCCTCACACCAGTATAGGCCTTCGACGACCGTACTGAAACAACAAGCCATCGCTACGTGCATACCAACAACCATTCCGGGGGCGGGGGACGCGCGTTAATGTACTGCTTCCATATAGTCATGCTTCTTCGTGCGGGATGAACACGGTGCAAGATTGGCTCGCAACGATTCTTTTCACCAGTGTTTGACGTACAAATACAACGATTGGCTCGCAACGATGCTTTGCACCAGTGTTTGTTAGACGTACAGTTACAGCGAGTCTTACGCGTGCCACCGTGATGCTACAGGTACGCGCTTGACAACACCCCGACCATTCTCTCGCGCAGCAGGCGCACCAGGTAGCACGCCAGTGTCCTCCGCTCGCGTAGGGGAGCGGTTACGGGTCCGGTGCACAAGAGGTATCCACGCCCGTGGGGGCGGTGATCGTCATGGCCGGGACGGGATTCGACGGCCATGGCGGAGATCGGCCATGGCCACAGACGAGGTTGAAGTCGAGGAGGACAGCAAGGGGGTGGCGGCGATGATCGAGGGGGGATGGGGGGAGCAGAAAGACGACGGCAACGTGTCCTACACGAGGATGCTCAAGTTTATTTTGCCGACGCTGGGCATCTGGCTGGCGTCTCCGATAATGAGCCTCGTGGACGCTGGGGTGGTTGGTGAGTACGGGGGAGATGGTGTGCAACTATAGGGCAAGAAAGCTTTCGTTTAGCCGCACACGCATGCTGTCGTAAGAACGGTATCGCCAGACGGGTTGGTGGGTGTTAGTGCTGTGAGCGGGTTAGGCGGCGTTGCTCGTCCGAGAGATTATTGGTTCATATTTGTTTGAGCAGTGGCCAAAATCGGGTACACCCGGTCCAAACATGGCCATAATCGGGTACTCCTACAAGACGCTGCTGGAAACGACCGCATGACACCATCTGATTGGCCGACGCTCGGCCCTACCCGACCTTGACCGTCTTTCCACCGGGTGCACCCGATCTTGGCTACTTGCCCCCCGGAGGGGTACCCGGTTTTTCTTTCCCCTACCCGAACATGGCTGGGCTGTTCGGCCAAACCCATGCACACAAGTACACGTCAGTAATACCTTGCCCTCGAATTCGGACGTTCTGACGGCGAGCGGGGGCGCACCCACCGGCGGCGGTGGAACTCTCGCTTGAGGGAAAGAGCATCAGGCGGCGGTCGGTGCAAATGATCGAGAAGAGCTGTGGATGAATGCCTCACTCACGAGATGCGACACACACGAGACCCATCGAAAAAATGGACATTTTCACTGCTTNCGTTCTGACGGCGAGCGGGGGCGCACCCACCGGCGGCGGTGGAACTCTCGCTTGAGGGAAAGAGCATCAGGCGGCGGTCGGTGCAAATGATCGAGAAGAGCTGTGGATGAATGCCTCACTCACGAGATGCGACACACACGAGACCCATCGAAAAAATGGACATTTTCATTGCTTCTGCTGCTCTCTCATTGGTGACAAACGAGCGGCCAGCGGTGTGCGTCCTACCCGTGATTGTGTGCATGTGGGTTTTCGCCGAACAGCCCAGCCGTTTTCGGGTAGGGAAAAGAAAAACCGGGTACTCCTCCGGGTGGTGAGTAGCCAAGATCGGGTGCACCCGGTGGGAAGACGGTCAAGGTCGGGTAGGGGCTGGCGTCGGCCATTCAGACGGTGTCATGCGGTCGCGCCCATCAGCATCTTGTAGGGGTACCCGATTATGGCCGTGTTTGGACCGGGTGCACCCGATTTTGGCCACTGCTCTATTTATTTGCACGTTATCACAGAAAGGCACCCATTGGATAATATTTCACACCACAGCTGTCGAAGGGGATGTGTTCAAGCCTTTGCAGGTTCTGCCCGTGGAGAATGCGAAGAAAGCAACCACGATCCCCTTGCCCCGTTGCCCCGTTTCGCGCTGTCTCGTGCCGTGCCGTATTATAGTACGTTGCATCCTTGTGCGGTTTACTTAGACCCCTCGGTATGCACTGCCGCAACGGCGAGTGTAATGCTGTAGAGCCAATATTTCCTTCAAACCCTTTTGTTTTTTATTATCGTCGCACGGATAATCAGGGACGAGGAGCGCGACGGAGCTGGCATCACTTGGCCCAGCGACCGTGCTCTGCGAAAGTTTGATCTACTGCAGCACGTTTCTGGCAATCGCAGTAACCAATTTGCAAGCTACAGCGCTGGCCGATGGGAAGCGGGCAGAAGCCCAGAAGGTAGTGTGGAAGAATATGAATCTGACCGCGGTTTGCCGAAGACGCTTGTGGTTTTCTGTTGCGGGGCTCTGGGACAACAGATGATCTCACACCGCAGCGATTTTTGACGCAGAGTGCGATAGTTTCATGCCCTCAGCCTCCTGTCTGCCAACTGCACCACCACCAGATGTATTTCCTCAAGTTGAAAACCGCCCGTTTGAAGTTTGATGTGCACGTACACACCCTCTCGATATTTTCCGTTCCGCTGATTGTTTCCGTTCAACCGCTGATGATCTGCGTTGCCGTCGCACACGCCGCCTTTGACAGGTGGTAGCCCAGGCATTGGGATTGGCTCTCTCGATAGGGTTGATGGTCGCGGTGGGAGTTCAGGCGTTTGGACCGAGAGTTCTGGCGCAACTGGCCGGAGAGAAGAGCAAGGAGGTACAGTGATGGTTCCCCGACTACGGCGGTGGTGGGGCACCCGATCATGACCGCCTTACATTGGGCAGCCGCCTTACGCGATGCGTAGAACTACTTGATTAGTCTTTTCCATCTATGCCTACCAATGTTACCCGCCTAATATGGGGCGACCCGCCTTTTTGAGACCGCCTTGTTCGGAGACCCCCACTGTAGGTCCAAGTGGCGAAGGAGCCTAGTTAGCAAAGGTCGGGATCACCCGCCCGCCGCGCCTCTTCTTGCTGGTGCTGTCTGAGCTTGCCCCGAGGAAGGCCATAGAGCTGAGACTACAGGGTAACCGTGGAGTTGCGCTCCCCGCTGGTTGTAGTGACAGATTTCCCGGCAAAGTTGTTCGCAGACGCCACACGCCCCATCCCCGAAAGCACGGCATACCACTTAACCCCTGCGCTATTTCGTTCCTCCGGGTTGGCATGACAGGTCGTACCGGCGGCGCTCGTATACTCGAGAGTGCGGATACTAGGCGCTCCCGCTTCCATCGCCGCTATGGTGCTGCAGGCGGCTTGCCTTGGAGCTCGCGATTCGGTAACCCCCTTGGGGGTCGTTTTGATAGCCAGCGCGATGAACGGGCTGGGGGATTGGGTCACCGTCTGCAGGATGGGCATGGGTGTGTTCGGGGCGGCGGCGGCCACCGCGTCTGCGGAAACCGTGAGCATGGTGCTCCTGGGCTTGGCCGTGTGGAGGGCGCAGGGTGAGTGAGCGCGGGTGTTTCAAGAGACACGCTGTTTGATAATGGAGGCATAGGTTTCATGGGGAGGGAGGCGTCGTCCTCCGTGAACTTGCTATGGGGTGTTTCTGTGTCGCCGCGCGTGGGTAGACGATATCTTCTGGTGAGACCGGTCTCTGCCTTGGTGGAAGCGAGGGGATGTGAATGTGGGGACGAGGTAGTTCGTCTTCGAGGGCGACTCCCCAAAGAAAAGAAAGCACCCTGGCGCGCTTTTGTAGTGGACCGATGGGCATTATAGGTTATCCACGGCAGCAGGTGGAGCGCACACGCTGCTTGCGCTGCACCTAGACAAACTGCGAAAGTAACAGAGCACAGGCTCCTTAGCGCCAGCGTCGAACTTGCTGCGGCGGCAAAATGCACCTGTCACATCATGTGCGCGAGGCCCCGTAGTGTAGGGTCCTTCCGCTACCCAAATAATCGAGATCGGCTCCGACACTAATCCTCGCCTGGGCATGAACACACGTTGTCCATTGTAGGAGAGCGTGTGTACAAGTTCGTGGAGCTACCCTCTGCGGAAGAGCTGAAGGTCTTCCTCGACTTCGCGGGGCCCATCGCGTTCGCCTTGCTAGGAAAGGTGAGCCCTGGCCCTTGCAGGAGGTGTTGCTGTCGTTTGTTATAGTTGGCTGGGGCTGCTGTGGAGGTTTCGGGAAGCGTTTGCCTCGAGGGGTTGCTTTGTATCCTCCCCGTGTTGATCACGTTGGAGAATCGGTCGAACGAAAACGTTCCGGTTCAGCGCTACAGTGTGGGCGATGCCCAGAGGCCGGCTTGCTGATGGAGCCTCGCATTTTCCACGAGACGTGTAGACAATGTATCCCGCGCGTTGGTGAAGGTTCGGGCAAGACGGAATGCTCTACACTAACGAGGCGCCTTGCTCCGTCTGTTTGCCTTGCGCCCCCGGGCAGCGGTAGATTTGCTCTACAACGCTTCAAGAGGAAATGATGCTGGTGTTTCTGGTGTCTCTGGTTATGCGGATCTCAGCTTCTGGCCTCGCTTTTGTGTTTCAGTGCTTGACGTACCGTTGGTGGTTCTGGCCGGTCGGTCGTCATGTTCACCCGATTTTCTTTCGACCAGTATGACCAAGAGTTCGTGCCACATGCGGCCGTTCTCTCTCTTTCGTCTGCCGTTCTCGACGTCGATCGCTTTCTTGCATCCAACCCCCGATGCGTGGTGCGGCTCTGGTCTGTCCCGGCCCCGGCAGGTGCTCTGCTACTCGGTCATGACTCTCACGGTCACCGCGATAGGGCCATTACCGCTGGCGACTCACAATGTGAGCCGACAAGAGAAGCGCTTGCTGTCTGTAACTCTAAAGTAGCATCGCTGATGTTGTGTTGTTACTTGTAGTACGCCCGGTCTAGCCGCTTGCCAGCCTTTGCGCGCAGAACTTCAGGATCTTGTGGTTACATTTCTACGCCTGTGAAGGATTTTCGATTCATTTCATGAGACATGAACGACATTTGAAATCACCACTGGGAAAGATTGCGGGTACCAAGGATCGTCCTCTCAGAAGTGTGGAGAATTCCCCAGTGTATCTACCTCGATCCCCCCCACACCGCACCCGCTTCACGTTTTCACATTGTCCCGCAAAGAAAGACAACGCTTGCTTTCGGAACGATTTTCAAGCGAAACCGACCAATGATGCCTCCCCACCCAACCAGATTTACCCACCATCCTGCTTGCGTTCGACCCCCGCCGACCCTCACCCGTTGCCATGCATATGTTCACTCTCTGCCATCCGTCTTGTCGACAGCTCCGTCCTCTGTCCCATGCCCGTTACGGCCGCCAGGTGATGCTGAGAGTGTTCTTCTTCTTTGCCACGTTCGGAGAGGCCTTGTCGCAGACGGCCCAGGCCTTCATCCCCGGGCAGCTCGCCAGAGAACGGAGCATCAAGTCGGCCAAGAAAGCCGCCCGGGCTGCTGCGGCTGCGGTGGCCGGGGACGCAGCCGCTGCCGAGGACAGTAGCGCCGACCCGCGGCTCAGTCCCGCCCGAACAATGATGAGGTACGGTGGAATGTCTTTGCCTGTTTTTTACAGATGGCAGCCTTGCCCGCTTACTTCCGGGTGTTGAAGGGGTCGTTGGGATCCCACGACGAAACTCATTTTCAAGCCGAATCAAACCATTTTGACAAGCCACCCCTGACTACTCAAAAGGTTTGATTTCGACTTCTAAATGTCCTTGATTCGGCCGGTTCGGCGGGATGATTCGGTGCGAGCGTTTTCAAACCCGGCACACGCACGATAAAATCCACCCGGGGTTGCAAGAGCCGTGGATGTTAGACACCCGAAGCCGCCAGGCCGAAGGAAACTGTACCGCACCCCCTCCTGAAACAATTCTGACGTTGAAATTCACACGTAGCCTACTCAGTTGTTTGAATGCGAGAACTGTGCCCACGGTACCCCCTGGTGCACATCACGGGGTTCCCACCGCAGGAAGGTGCTCATTCTTGGAGTAGGAGTCGGCAGCGTCAACGCCTGTGTGGCGGGGCTTGTCCCTCTTCACCTGCCCCACCTCTTCACCAACTCCTTGGAGGTGGCAGCCGGGATGCGGAGCCTCACGCCGCTGCTGTCGTGGAGCCTCCTCACCCACGCCTGCGTGATGGGCCTGGAGGGGATACTGCTCGCCCGACGGCGGCTTGGTTTCCTTGCGGGGTGAGCGAGACTTGTTGGAGGGGACGCCGAGCAGCGTGCACGCGGTGGTTCACTGCCGAGCGCGCCGCTGTGGGAGCGAGCCCCTCTGCACTTCACGGTGTTCCGCGTATGAATAACAAGCCGGGGACGTCAGGCATTATTGAGGGTGTACCCTCCACCTCAAGTTGATGTTGGAAACATGTTGTTGGCTACGTGGGAGCAAGCTGTGTTTGCCAAGTGTATTCTTACGCGCTTATTTCAGTCTTGGGGAACCAATCCCGCCAGCATGCCGGTTCGGCTGCTATGGCTACGGACTCTTCCTTCGTTCTACACACCCGATAGACGAATGCTCCACCGCAGTTTCCCGTTAGCCTACATCTTCACTTATCGTTGCAGATTTCAGAGATTGTTACAGAACTAAACTGAAGCGCGACTGCGATTTGTACGGCTGACGCACTTGACATTCGCGTCCCGGCCCAAACGATCTCTCTCTCGGAAGGTGCTACGCTCTCAACACAGTGGTGTTAGTGAGTTTCATGCAATGGGTCAGGACGTGGCCTGCGACGCGGGGTTTGCATGGCGCGTGGATGGGGCTGTTGCTGCTGCAGATCATCAGGCGAGTCTTGCCCCTGGTTTCGGCGAAGCAATGGTGCCAATACATGCTCGTTCATGGACGAAGCGCAGGCGGCAAGCCGAGGCCGCTGTTCGCCGATATCGGACACATGTCCTCAGCGAACCAATAAGCACAAACACCCGGCTGTACCCCCATGGCGGCAACCTAAAACCAGCATATAAACCACGGCGGCAGCCAGTCCATGTCTGCGAATCCCGAGCCCACTTGTTCAGCGATGAGTTTGTTCTGAAGAGTGCGTCTCTAGGCATCATCGATGTCGGTTTCAGGAGGGTGTTTGTTGGCGGCGGTAAAACACTACCTAGCAGCCGCCACATTATTCCGAGCTCATCGTGCGCTACAGGACAAGCAACATCGAATGCCACTACCGTAGCTCCACTCCCCCTCAAGTCGCTGCTGTAGCGTAGCTCTAGCGGTCTAAGAAACTTCGAGGGCACGCCGTGAACCAGAACCTGCACACTGCTGTCCTTACATTTATCCTTCTCCTTGCTTTATCGGTCTGGCTTCGACATACCCCCCGATCCAAGATGTGCTCAGACCGCCAGCCAACTCTTCGTTTCTAGGTATTTCAGTGATGAATTCTCTCGTGCATCCCTGTTGTATGCTTTGTGGCAAGGCATTAAACGGTTGCCCTTCCCCAGCTCAATGGTCGTTTCTTTTCGTCCTGTGCGTGTGTGCTATGTGCGATGTGTTCCTCCCTGTGTTGTGGTTCCTCGGTGGCCAGAGTTGCGGAGTTTGGGATGCATCTGCTGTGGCTCAACCGGAGAAGTCGCGTCACCGAAACGAAGGCTGCAGCCGCTGCTTAGGCTTGTCCTGCTCACTCGAATCATTCGCGCCACGCCGTGATGGTGCGCTTGCTGGAGCGACCAATTCGAAAGTGCCACTTTTTTACGGTCGTTGACGAGAGCAACGCTCGCACCGAGTGAATATCATCTGGTATAGTAGTGCCACTTTTCTTGTCCATGAAGTCGATGATTTCTTGTCCAATCGCATTGTTGCTGTTTTTGGTGATGAATCGATCCTCGTGGTGTAGATCACTTTGAAATCACGTACGTACGTACGTACTTTGGTACAAAATGTCGTGTTTTTCATGGGAGACCTTCCTTGTCGGCAGGACCAATCCAACTTGCTTTGCAGGTACTCCGAAGCCATCCGACAATTCGCAAGCGTTTTTGAGGCGTCAGTTGGTCGCAGTTTTCCTGCCAATCGCTGGTACCCCGGCATCGCTTGAGGGATGGCGGGCATTAGGTCACCTGGAGCACACTCCTGCTACGCCACATTCAGAGCATTCCTGCGACTACCCCATGAACTCAGGGTGGGGTCGGTGGGGTAGGGAGGAGGGCTGGCTCGCCCGAGGGCTACTAGTACTACGGGATGTGCTCGTGTAAACGCGTGCCAAAATCGTTAAGACCATAGACTAGACCTCGCATCCCTACAATGCCGGGACGGAGTGATATGCCGGGTTTTCGCCGGCCCAGGCTACGTTTCACAAGGATTAACCAGAAGCTGGCCATGATCCTTGCGTTTTGCTGTGCCAATCCAGGTATGCCATGAGTTGATTGGCCATCCCGGCTTCCCAAACGTTTCACAATCAGCGGCACTGCTATTTACTACGGGGGGCGTTTTCTCACGGAAAGGAACACGTGCTGAGCCACACTTGTGCATGCCATACAACACCAACGAGAAATTAGAAGAAGAGGGGTTGGCACAGCTACCGCCAGGCGCAAACAAACGTCCGTGGTGTTCGCGCGACATCTCCGTCACGTACATAAATAAGTATATGGGAGGACTTTGCTCTCGTGCGTGGAGAAAAGCTTTGTACAAGAGTGCCTACTACACTGTTTGAGATTGCAAGCCCTTCAGTCAGCACCGCTTGACTACACATGCACATTCTTTCGCTCAGCGAAGTACTTTCGAAGCCTACATGAACAAGAACAGGAGCACACCACGCACAACACGTAAAATTTTTGTTTCTCTGCCCAACTGAGATCAGCACTCTTTTGCAATAGGAGTCTACTGTTTCCCGCCGGAAGGAAAATTAAACTTGGCGTTACCGACCTCCCATGATGCAGAAACCATCAGAACAGCAATAGTATTTACCGTACACCACATTCATTCATCATCCACACAAGACCTTGAGAACCCTGGTGTAGACCAATCCTGCCCATCATCTTGCATTTATCGCCTCGAGCACAACACGACTCAAAAGTAGGGTGCGTATGCAGCAACACATCTATGTCTCAAAACAAAATTCATCTGGGCCACGTCAACACCATCAGGTTATATAAAGCAGAAATACTTTTGTGCACCAACGTGGGTTGTTGTTGTTGTTTCTCACATTAGCTCTAAAAAACAAAATTGGGAGCCCGTGGTCTCAAAACCCGGCATACACGACCCCACGAAGAAACAGAAAAAAATAGGGTACAAAAACCACTCGGAAGAGAAACAAAATGATAGAAAGAAAGACCAGCTACCGCACCAAACGAGAAAGAGCGTCGAGGAGACCGATCAAAATAAAATAAAAGGAGAACGGGGAACGCTTCCCACACCCGCCTACAACGCCGGAGGGTTCCGTGCCGGGTTCCCGCCGACCAGGCATCTGGTGAACACGCACAAAAACATTCGGTTTCTAAAGAAGAGCACCCCACCCATTTTAGCAACCGCCCTTCGTGTGTGTGTGCAATTAATTTCATTCTGTCTGGTGGTTTGACGTGGCCCAGATGGATATCTTGATCGGACATGTATTGCTGCACGCGCGCTCCTGTTTTGCACGGCGTGCATCGACACGTAGGTACGTGTTCGTACATGCAGAAGTTTTTTTTCTTATCTTGGCTGTTTTACCGGTATGCCCAATGTACAACCGCAGACAAAAAAAGCCAGTACACTGCTGTACTGAACAACAAAAAGGAACTCCGAAGTTTATCGCCAAAACAAACGCGGCACATCTTCATGAAACGAATATTCGTACGTTCCGGGCAGCGCTTGGCAAGTAACTTTATTTAACTGGAACCTGCCCCGAGGAAGGGCGATGACGTATGTCTATGTTTTTATTCTACTCTGTGGTGCAACGGAGCCCCTTCCCACGACATTGCTACGCTGGCCGTTTTTTTCCCGAAGCCCGGCACTCCTGCCCCACTCAGTCCCCCCCCGTTGCACTCCTGCTCCTCCCTAGACTCCAACACCCTGCCCCCGGTCGATCACCTCCGCTTCCGCCAGCGCCGCACTTGCCCACCCCACGCAGCAAGCACTTCGTCTTCTTCGAACATACACACGTCCGCTATTGTGTTGACATAGCATTACGTCATGAAGACCATTCAGCAACAGGTACATATATGCGTTTGTTCGTTCCCGCGAGTTGTTGGTGAGATTGTTCCCAGGCTCCTTGCTGTCCCTGCTCTTGCTCCCGTCGTCGCCAGTGTTCGGGAACCGACACCGCTTGCCTCGTTGCTGTGCAGGTTGGTGGACGCCCGCTCAGCGCGGTAACGCCGGAGAAGTTCATGGACGTCCCGAGCAGCCAGGCCACGGTAGATGACGAGGGCGGGCAGCAGCTACGGGAAGCAGGAGGAGCAGCAATGCCCCCTGATTTGACCATGAAGTGTATAGTAGAGGTGGGTTTCACACTCATGCAGCTGGTGTGTTGCGAGGACTTGAGGGTAGGTGTTTCACGGCGTGGCTGACTCCACTTCTTCGCAGGGCGATGCATGATGATGCACATGTTTTGGACATTGGCTTAGATGCAAATTCTCTTCTTCGCCCAAGTCATCAACCATGATTGTGGAAACGAATGATGTGCAAGTTTGTCGATCACCAAACCGACACGCGCACACGCACGAAGCCGAAGGCCTTGGCATCTTCAGATTAGGTTGTGTAGCCAGGTGGGTATCCCGAAAGCCATGCTCGTTTGACTACTGCTGCTGTAGCTCGCTGCGCTCCTCCAACTGTTCGCATACGTAAGGGCGGGAGTTTTGCTTTTTGCCGGGCTCTTCGTGTTCCCGCAGGCTTGGAACGTGCTTCCAGCCGAGACGAGGAGCGAGCTTAAGCGTCTCCTGATCGAGTCCGAGACCAGCAGGTTTGTACTCTCAGGGTGCAGCCCCCGGGGTGGCGTAGAACACGCACAGTAGTCACACGCCGCGTGACTACTGCCTGTCTCTGCTTGGTTGCTACCCACATGGTTGCGTTTCCGTCTTGCCCCCACTGGTTTGTCCGAAGGGATACGTGGGCAGCATCCCTTGCCACGTATGCAAGCGTCACATGGCAATTTCTCCGCTCCGTGTTTTTCCACCACGCCCGGCTCGTTGCTTTGCGACATGAAGCATGCCCCTCGTAACGACGCAAAAGATGCGCCAGTGTGAAGATCCTAAGTCCAGCAGCACTCGTTATAGCCTTGCATCCACAACGCACTTTTCGGCGGGGTGTGTTAATCAACAATGATTTTTGGCTATGGTTCTTGAAGAGGTGTTTGGGGAAAAGCGACCCATGTTTTTGTTCCGCGGTGAAGGGCATGCCCTCGTGCTGGCCCCGACGAGTGCTCTATGTGCACTTCTGCCGACTTCACGTAGCCCTCCCTGCCGTTACCCGAGCGTTCGGGGGGAGTGGGGGGTGGGAGGGGGCGCGGCGCCCGTCTGGTTGCTGCCCGTTTGACCCCCACTGCCTGCTTGCTTGCTTGCTTGTGTCATAAACCTGTTTATTGCAGTGAGTCATTGTACGTACGTTGTGTGGACCACCAGGCTGAAAGGGCGCGTGTACCTGGCTTTTGTACATATGTACATATGTGCCCGACTTCAATTCAATTAACGGTTTTCACGACCGTCAACTCATTTATAGTCTACACGTCCAGCCTCTTGGGTGTGTTGTTACGGCCATCACCGGGTCCCCGTCTTGACGGACACGGATCTCGTCGCTCTTAGCTAAGAGGTTTGTTGGTTAAGGCGCGCGGATCCCGCCCACGTGCTCATACGGCTTGAGAAATCAGTGCAATTGGTCCGCACGTGCCCCCCATGTAGGAGTGGTTGCAATCCATCAATCCAGCCCCTGACAACATGTTCCTTGGAAATTTCTGGGTGATGCTTGTAGATGCACGAGGGCGAATTTGTTGAAACCGGCCCAAAGCACTTGCTCATTTTTGTGCTATCTCTTATCTATTGAAGCTGAAATCAAATCATTGGACTAGTCAGCCGCAGACGTTTCTAATGGGTTGATGTCGGCCTCGATGATATTCTAGTTAGTTAAAGGCTCCGAATGACTAGACTCCGAGGAGGCACTCTCGCCTAGCTTGTCAAGAACCCGAAATCAAACCATTAGACTAATATTGGATCGACGGTCGTACGCCCCCACGCTTGACCAGGCGGGGGAGAGAAGTGTGCAACACAGGGATAGCACACCTCTCCCCGTTCCACACCGCCACCGAGATAAACCACTCAACGCACCATCAGGCATACTCTCAAAGCCATGCCTGCCCCCAACCTAATGGTAGACTGGGTTACAATACTGATCCCCACCCTTTCCGTGGTTCACCTCAATACCGACCCACCCACCTTATCCCAAGCACCTCTACGGCATTTACCGTTTTAGTATCAAGTGCTCTTTTTTTTCGGCTTCAACATATCGGTGCTCTCTAACAACCGGTGCTATATGCCATCGTACCGACGGCGATCTGTTCCATAGAGCGTCTTGATACCAACTCTTTCTTTTCTCGCTTCTCACCTCACCCTACGTTGTTTTCCTACACACACCGGCAACATTCCATTTCCAGCGGCGTGCCTGGGGGCGACACCGCCGGAGGAAGTCTCATAGAGGACGAGGAGTCCTTCCAGCCCCTCAACGGTTACGACTACGCCAAGCCGGAGCCGTTGGCGCGTGCCCCTAAGAACGTGTTCGTTTTCCGGGGCAAGCAGCAGCAAGTGTTGGGGTGGCGCAACGTTTTCGACCTCCCCATCCAGTACGATGTGGAGCTGTGCCCTGGCCTGCTGTCGCCGGAGTCGGCGACGCTGTCGAACCGTTTCCGGCCGGAGGACGGGCCTCGCCGCCGCTTCGTCGTTATCGGTGAGAGAGACCAGACACAGAGAGAGGCAGAGAAGGAGGGGGGCGGGGGGGGGGGGGGAGAGAGACAGAG